CCCTATTGTTGTTTTTTGTCGGGATTATTCGCATCATTACGGTTACTATTATTGGTATTTTCGTTATCATATTTGTTATTAATGTTGCTATATTTCTTTCGCTATTATTGGCATTATTGTTATCGTTAGTATTAATTTTACTATTTTCATTTTCATTGTCAATATCTTTATTATGCCTATAAATACCATTATTTGCTTGAATTCTTATCATTATCATTATTATAATTATCATTGTCATTAATAATGTTATTATTATTGTTATTACTATTTTCATCAAAATTCTTATGCTTATTCTTATTCTTATCATTATTATAATTATCATCATTATTATCATTACTATTACTATTATTAATATTGTTATTATTTTTTAATAGCATTATTATCATTATTATCATCATTATCATTATCATTACTACTACTATTATTATCATTCTTATTATCACCATTATTGTCATTATAATTATTATCATCACTACTTATATTATTGTTATTATTACTATAGCTATCATCATCATTATCATTATTATCATCATTATTACTATTATTATCTTTATTATTATCACTATCATCATTTTTGTTGTTATATCATATCACTGTTGCTGTTATCATTATTACTATTATCATTATTATTATTATTATTATTATTTTTATTATTATTATTATTATTATTATTATTATTATTATTATTATTATTATTATTATTATTATTATTATTATTATTATTATTATTAACATCATCTTCATTATCTATTCTATTATCATTATCAGTGTTATAGCATTTTTTAATTATCATTATCACTATTTCAGCATTACTATTATCAATATTATCATGATCAATATCTTCAGCTTATGAATATCACAATATATATGTCATTATTCGTATCACTGTTGTTCCTACTACTATTATCATTGTCATCCGCATCATTATCATCACTTTTCCCTCCTATGCTCTCTTTCTTATTATTGTGATCCTTAAGATCATCATCAATATCATCCTTATTTGCATGTATAATAAGCGCGACATTGTTAATATGAGCTACAGTGATCCTATCTTGTCTTCATTTACCTTAATTACAGCTCACTCGAACCCTTTATTTAATCTCTTTCATTAACGCAGATCAGTCTGTTGCACGTTTATTGCACTATTGATTATCATATTGTTGTTAGAGTATTGATCATTACACTCTCTCTCTCTCTCTCTCTCTCTCTCTATCTCTCTCTCTGTCTCTCTGTCTCTCTCTCTCTCTCTCTCTCTCTCTCTCTCTCTCTCTCTCTCTCTCTCTGTCTGTCTGTCTGTCTGCCTTGCCTGTCTGTCTGTCTGTCTCTCTCTCTGTCTGTCTGTCTGTCTGCATCTCTCTCTCTAATCTCTCTCTCTCTCTCCCACTCTCTTTCTATTAACTTTCTCTTTCTCTCATCTTTCTTCCTTTCATTTCCCAGCTTACATTGCATCGTGTTTCTTTTCTTCTTCTTTTCACATTCTTTCTTATTGTCTATCTCTTTTACCATTTTCATGGCATATACTTTTTCTTTATAATTTATCCTCCTTTTGCATTTTTCCCCTATCTGTCTTTTTTTTTGTTATTTTTATTACTATCATTCGATTTATCTTTTTCGTTCTCTTCCCCATTAATACTTATTGTACTTTCATTTCCCTTCTTTTATTGTGTCTTTATTCCCCTTTACATCAAATAATTAATTTTACCAAATTGGCTTTTCTTTCATTTGTCATTATCTCCCCTCTTCGCTTTCCCCTCTTCTCCTTTTGTTCTTTTGTTCATCATTGTTTTCGGTTTGTCTCACATAGTTCGTCCCCCTTCTCTTCTTTATTCTCTCCTCCTCTTCATTTCCCTCTTCCTCCCCTTCCCTTTCTTCTTTTCCTCCTTTTTTAAACATTCTTACTCTTATTCTTTCCCCTCCTCATTCCCTCTCATTCCAACTCCCTTAATCTTAGTCATCTCCCAAGATTACACAGCCGCTCATTTCCACTCCACACTTTCTCCCTCTTCAACTCCCTTTTCTCCTTCCCACTCCCTACTTCCCTCCCTTCCTCTTGCGCCGCTTTCCCCATTTCTCTCATCTCTCTTTTCCCTCTCCTCCCCCTTTCTTATCTGTCTCCGAAGAGCAGACTCACCCATTTTTCCTCCCAATCCCCTTTCTCATCCCAGCTCCCCCTATATCTTAGGTCTTTCTCCTCTCCCTTCCTGTCTTCTTTCTTCTCCTCTACTCTCTTCCGCCTACTCCCTTTTTCTCTTCCATCCCCTCTGCTTACCTGGTCCCACTTTCCCTTCTCCTCCATCTCTCTTATCACTCTCCTCCTTCCTACATCCCTCTTCCTCCCCTCTCCTCCTCCTCTTCCCCTCCCCTTTCCCTCTCCCATTCCCCTGCCATCTTCCTTCCCACTGTCTCCCTTCTTCCTTCCTCCGCCGTCTCCCTCCCCTCTTCCTTCCCCCCGTCTCCCCTCTTCCTTCCCCCTGTCTCCCCTCCCCTTCCCCTTTCTTACCTGTCCCCGAAGAGCACGCAGTCTCCGGAATGCACGTCGTAGTGAAGTAGTCTCCCAGCCGCCTCGTCTGTGAAGTAGCTGCCCGGCGCTGGAATCGCCCACGTCACAGCGGCCGCCCACAGCACAGCCACGCCAGCCCACTGCATCTGTTGGTACATTGGCACGTCATTCAGCGTCAGCGGATGTCGGTCGCGAGGTCTTTCGTGGAGAGAGGAACGACAGCTGTAAAATTGTATGTTGGTGTGAAGTTCAGGTTAGCTGTCTGTTGGGAGGGATATTGCCCGTGTGTTATTTCTGCTCTCCGCCTTTTGTTGCTTTGTTTACTTATTTATTTTGTATTGTGTTGTTTGTGTGAGTGAGTGTTTATATATGTGTGATTATGTGTGCGTGTGTGTGGGGGGGGTGATGGGGGGGAGTACAGGTGCAAATTAGTTTTACTCATTTTTGCTTGTGTCAATGTTTGTCTGTTTGTTTGTTCGTACATTTGTTTGTCTGTATGCTTCTTTGTTTTATTTCTTTGTTTACTTGAGTGCGTGCGCGCGCGCGCGCGCGCGCGTGTGTGTGTGTGTGTGTGTGTGTGTGTGTGTGTGTGTGTGTGTGTATGCGTGTGTGTGTGTGTGTATGCGTGTGTGTGTGTGTGTGTGTGCGAGCGTGTGTGTGTGTGTGTGTGTGTGTGTGTGTGTGTGTGTGTGTGTGTGTGTGTGTGTGTGTGTGTGTGTGCGTGCGTGCGTGTGTGTGTGTGTGTGTGTGAGTGTGTGTGTGTGTGTGTGTGTGTGTGTGTGTGTGTGTGTGTGTGTGTGTGTGTGTGTGTGTGTGTGTGTATGTGTGTGTGCGCAAGCGTGTGTGTGTGTGAGTGTTTACATACATGCTCACTTAGCGTACAGCCAGCAGCAGCGTATGCTTTGACTAGCGACAACAACGTATTTACACACCCAAACTCCCAATCCCAGCTGTGCTCCTACTCCCGCTACATGCACGCGCGCAGTGAACTCTGTGTATACAAGGCCCCGCAGTGTGACATTGTGTGCACTCGGCCCACACCGGTATCTATGTATTATCACAGGCCGACACAAATGGGCCTCCATAATCGTAAACCTTCACCGCCCGTCCACCACGCTGTCAGGACCCCTCCTAAACTTCCATTCTGCCGGGCCATTTTTGTATTTTACATTTCAAGGCTCAGTCATTGTGTTTCTCTTCTTTTTTTCTCGGTAGTGCATCTGATTTATAATTCATGATATGGTTGAGCGGATCTGCAGAGTGAAGAACAAGGTTAGGGGTTGTATAACTCTTGGGTAAAATCACGCCGCATTTCACTAGGATTGCTGATAAAATGTAAATGTATCCTTTATTATGAAATAATGAAGGCTGAGCTAAATATAAGTATGTAAAGAAAATCTGTGTAAAGGAAAAGAAAAGACGAAGAAAAGAGTTTGAAAAGGTTTTGAATTTATTTTCATAACGAGCGAGTCAGATCTGAGGGTCCAATACACCTTGGCAATATTTCGGACTTAAGTTTAACGTTTATTGCGACCGGAACGTAAAAATGTATCAGTTACAGAAAGAAATGAACGCTTTTCAATTCAGTTTCACAGCCAGAATCTTGTTTCTCCTAATGCACGACAATTTTCTGTTGTGACGTCAACAACATAAAAAAGAAAAAGTTGCGCAAAAAGACATATCTCATCTCCATCTTCTCCAATCGTATTTCTCACTTCCTTCGTCTTACCTCTCACCCCCTGGCCATCCCAAGCATCCTCCATCTCATGCAGCTTACTCATTACGTCCGAGGTTTTCCCAAGCTGCTTCGTCTCCCTCATTTCCTTCCTTCTCTTTCTCCTCCTCCCTTTTCTCCCTCCTTTTCCTCTCCCTCTACCTCTATCTTTCTCCTTTTCGTCCAACTTATTTTGTTATCCCTCCTACTCTATCCTTCCCTTCTTCCTTCCTCCCCTTCTTTTCTCCTATCTTCGTCCTTCTTCACCTTCTTATCCTCTCCTTCCTCCTCCGCCTCTTCTAGCTTTGCAGATTAATATTGCACTCTCACTAACAGAGCCATAATCAGACCCCCCTTTGCCGTCTCCCCTCTCTCTCTTCCTCCTTTAACTCTCCCTCTCCCCCTCCCCCTCCCCCTCCCTCCCTCATTCACTCATTCCCTTCCTCTCTCCTTACCTACCCCGCCTGGTACCCCTCCCTCCTTCCCATCCTCCCTCCCTCCCTCCCCCTCCCCTAGTACCCGTACCATTCCTGGGGGCCTGAGATCCAATAGGTTACAGACCATCCCTGGGGGAGGCACGCCGTGAATAGGCCGGGAAGAGGACTCGCCTGCAGGGAACGGCAGAGGAGAGAGAGAGACAGACAAGCATAATTGCGCGTAGATACACACACACAAACAGAGAGAGAGAGAGTGGGAGAAGTAAAGTGAGAGAGAGAGTGAGAGAGCAAGAGAGAGAATGAAAGAGAGTGGGAGTAAAAAGAGAGAGAGATAGAGTGTGTGTGTGTGTGTGTGTGTGTGTGTGTGTGTGTGTGTGTGTGTGTGTGTGTGTGTGTGTGTGTGTGAGAGAGAGAGAGAGAGAGAGAGAGAGAGAGAGAGAGAGAGAGAGAGAGAGAGAGAGAGAGAGAGAGAGAGGGAGGGAGGGAGGGAGAGAGAAAGAGAAAGAAAGAGTAAGAAAAGGAAAGAGAGAGAGAGAGAGAGAGAGAGAGAGAGAGAGAGAGAGAGAGAGAGAGAGAGAGAATGACAGAGAAAAAGAGAGGGAGATAAAAAGAGAGAGAGAATGATTACCACATACAAAAAAAAAATCTTTAGATGATTTAAGACGGATAAGTCAAAAGAAGAGGAATAAGAAAAGTTATAACGATGACAAGTAAAAAGAAAAAAAGAGATAGATAAAGGAAAGGTGAAAGAACAAGACTTATCCGTCCCAAAAATCTCCAGCACCCTTGTCAGCGTTTTTTTTTTCTTTTTGGGGGGCTTTTAATTAAACAAGAGCTGACTCTGTGACGGCGTTCAGCTCTCGCGGCTAAGGCGGCCCTACTGCCGGGGAGGTACCTGGAGGATGACATTTTTGGGGGGTGAGGGGGGCGAGAGGCTAAGTCTTGGTTATGTTCTGCTTCTCTCTCTGCATCTTTCTCTCTTTCTCTTTCTCTCTCCTTGTTGTCCATCTTTCTTTCTTTCTCTCTCTCTCTCTCTCTCCTCACTCTCTATCTTTCTTTTTTTCTCTCTTTACCTCACACAGACAAACACTCCCTCTATTCTCTGTATGTCTGTCTGTCTGTCTCTTTCTATTTCTTTCTCTATTTCTTTCTCTCTCTCTCTCTCTCTCTCTCTCTCTCTCTCTCTCTCTCTCTCTCTCTCTCTCTCTCTCTCTCTCTCTCTCTCTCTCTCTCTCTCTCTCTCGCTATTCCTGTGCCTCCCTCATTCCACCACCCTTTCTCTTTCAATTTCCAAATGATTTAAAGAAATATCAGACCATTTGAAAAGAATTCCTTTTTCCTCAGATATATCCTCGGCGATTTTCATTTTCTCACCAAATGATCTTTAAAAAAAGACCAATAGAAAAAAAGCGTCAGCACATTTATGATAACATTGGTTTTGCGGATCAGCCGATTCGATCCGTGGCCCCCGCTGTCGTGAGGGCCAATGGGAAACGGGGAAAGAGAACAAGGCCGAATATCCAACCATTCTGATTGGTCGAGGTCCCCTTGGCTAGCGTTTACACCCCGTTGTTGAGATCTAATTTCCCAAGACGGCAGCGGTCCTCAGCCGCTCCTTCGGCGCAGTGGCGCGCTCGGATGCTGCTGCTGCTGCCGGTGCTTGTTGCTGGTGGTGGGGACTGTTGTTGTTGGTGCTGTTGGTGGTGGTGGAGGTAGTGGCGATGGTGAGTGTAGGTGCTGTTGGTGGGGATAGAGGTGGTGGCGATGGTGACTGTTGGCGCTGTTGGTGGGGGTGGAGGTGGTGGTGATCGTGATTGTTGGCGCTGTTGGTGGGGGTGGAGGTGGTGGCGATGGTGACTGTTGGCGCTGTTGGTGGGGGTGGAGGTGGTGGCGATGGTGACTGTTGGCGCTGTTGGTGGGGGTGGAGGTGGTGGCGATGGTGACTGTTGGTGCTGTTGTTGGTGGTGGTGGTGGAGTCCGTTTGTGGTTTCCTTCCTCCAGTTGGTGTTTGCAGTTCTGTGGTGGTGTTTGTTGGCATTGTTTTTAACAATGTTTGGTGGTGTTGTTGTTGGTGGTGATACAGGTAGCAGTGTTGGCTGTGTCCTTGCTTGTGGAGTTTTTATTGGCGATGTTGGTGTCAGTTTCGTGGTGCTGTTAGTGGTGTTGACGTTGGTGGTGATGCTGATATCTGTAGTCATGGTGATGTATTGTTTGGGTTGATGCTGTGGTTGGTGCTTGTATCTTTAGTGATGGTGATGATGATAGTGTGTCATTGATAGTGATTTTCCCGTCCGTATTAATGTATATGACGTTGGTGATGTCGATATTGATGTTGGTGATGCCGCTGAACTTGCTCTTGATTGAGATATAAGATTGTTCACCCAGATGATGTTCTTTCTGATGTTGATGTTAATTTTGATTGTTGTGATATTAAGTTTGATGTTGATGATGATGTTCATTCTGATGTTGATGTTCATTCTGATGCTGATGTTAATTTCGATGTTGATGAAGATGTTAACGTTGATGTTGATGTTGCTGCTCTTATTGCTTTGTTGTCGCCTTCGTATATTTTAAAGTTGATGCGTCATAGCGGCTGGTGTGAATCAACTGGTGTTTCGCGTAGTGTTAACCTCCAGTTTTCTTTATCACTTCTCGGTTTATGCCTTCACTCTCTTTCGTTCTCCTTCTCTCTTTCGTTCCCTGTCTCTGTCTGTTTGGCTTTCTGCCTGTCTGTCTGTTTCTATGTCTGTCTGTCTCTCTGTCTGTCTGTTTGTATGTATGTTTCTCTGTCTGTTGTTCTGTCTGTCTGTCTGTCTGTCTGTCTCTCTCTCTCTCTCTCTCTCTCTCTCTCTCTCTCTCTCTCTCTGTCTGCCTGTCTGTCTGTCTGTCTCTCTCTCTCTCTCTTTCTTTGTCTGCCACTCTCTGTCTCTCTCTCTCTTTCTGTCTCTGTCTCTCTCTGTCTTTCTGTCTTGTCTCTCTGTTTCTCTCTCTCTCT